TAAAAAGATCCATCTATTTTCGGAAAGGCTCTAAATCATTGTCAAAACCCCAGCAGATTCCTCCAAAACAGTCCTGTTAATATTATTATTATTATTCATACTGCCGATGTGCCTATCCTAGGGCGTGCCGGTCCAGCAAGCTATCTTAGTGTACAGGAAAACCGTGCCAGTCTTCTGGCTGGGTGAAAAACCTGTACCATCCCTTTCAGGTCTAGTCCTGTTAATATTCCCGTCGTTTATTAGGCATACATGTACAGTCAGATGTGCCGAACACAGGTCAAACGCTACCGGCAAACGTTCAGGGGATGCGTGGTTGCATGTATCACTCTCTACTCCCCGATGTGGCTGACTTTCCCCTTTTGGTAATACGTAAACCCAACCCTTAATCCGGGATATCTTCAGGCGTGACGCAGTCAGTCCGGGAAATGTCAGCACCGAAAGACGTTCCTGCACCGGCCCCCCCCTATTTTTGGGTTGATAAGCTGAGCTTACTTTCTGTGGGTGAGGTTTTATCCAATCCACATCGGTTTGAGTGAAAAGTTTGATGATATGACACGATGGATGGTGAGAAAAGAAGCTTCCGGCAGGCATCCCAGTACTGGGTCATCACCTTTTAATATCTTGGGGTTGACGGGAGGCCTGTCGTTTAGCGCACCAGCCACATAATACCTTCTTCTCACTTCAAAACAAACCTTCTTTCTTGTCCCGACTCCAATTCTTACAACTTCTTCTCTCCGGCATGGCATCTCCACATCCCACACCGCGACGAATCTTTGATGACCTCGACCTCCATCCGCCATGACGACGCCCACGGCCTACTACCGCCTTTTACCTGCATTAGTGATTATTATCTCGCTTTTCACCGCCCCGGCCCTCTCAGACCACCCAAAACCCTCGGAACCGACCTGCTACGCGCCCGACGGCTCGACGATCGCAAACGCCTCCCTCTTTTCCCCCTGTAACCGCCTCGGCATAACCCAAGCAAACGCCCACTCCTCCTGCTGCCAGCTCGGCGGCGATCCGCCCGAGTCTCGAGACCTCTGCGCCATCACGGGGTTATGTCTGAACAACGGAATAGTGAGAAGAGGGTTCTGCACGGATCCGAGCTGGAAGTCTCCCGCCTGCGTCAAAGTTTGCGATGATCCTGATGTATGTCTACTGATACAACCAACCCCGAATTCAAGACTAATGCGGGAGGGAAAATCTACAGGCAGGAGGATCACCGGACAGTTTTGCCGAAATGACTTCGTGCACCGACGGAACGTATTGCTGCGGAAGGAATAACCTGACTTGCTGCGGGACCGGCTGGGCTGTGAAGCCGCCCATGTTGATGGTTAACGCTCCATCGGCTACTGTGACGGTGACTGCGGCGGCAGATGCTGCCAAACAAAGAAGCGACAGAATGACGATTGTCGGGCTGGGTGCGGGGTTGGGAGGTGTGGTGGTTGTTGCTGCCGGGGCTGTGTGGTATCTGATGAGGAGGATCAGGGTTCTTTCTGCCGTTCAGAGGTCGAGCGCACAGCTGCTGTCCGTGACCAGACGGAGCAGTCCGGGTGGGACGCCGCTTCTGGTGTCGTCGTTTGAACGGGCTGGTTTCCCCGGGGGGATTGTGTCTCCCAGGGCAATGTATAACAGCCAGGAACCCTGGGGACCGGATTCGTACAGTTTAAAGTACACCAAAACCGGCCGAGATGGACACGTCCCGGAGTTGGACTCGGCTGCTTTGTCCGAGGCTGGGATACCCGACGAGAGGAGAGCGTTCGTCCAACCGATGGCTTGGGATGACAGGAGGTATACAGGATAGTAGAGAAAGAAAAAAATGAACTGTTCTATTTCGCTACGCTAATGCTGATTTCAAAACCCTCTTTCCCTTTCATCGCCTCTTCGCAACCATAGCCTCCGACTCAAACCCCCTTCCGCTCATCAAAACACCCGCCTTCTGCAGGAGATCAACCGTGTCCTCAACAACCTTCAAATCAACCCCCTGCGTCCTCTCGGGGAACTTGACCGTCTTCAACCACTCCCTCGCGTCCTCCTCGGAATAATCCAGCTCGGTGCTGATATACCGCACCGCCTCCTCGTGGTTCTCGTTGAAGTGCTTGATGCCCTTGTTCAGTCTTTCAAACAAATCCTCCACCCTCTGATCCAGAACCCCGTCGTCCTTCAAAAGCTTGGTAGAAGCAACAATCTTCCAACTGCTCCAGGGGGTATAAATCTCGCCGACTCTTCTGATCTCCCCGTTGTCGTAATACTTCTTGCTCGTGAAATGCTCCCACATGAAGAAGTCGGCCTCCTCCTCATTGACCGCCCTTCTCAGGTTCTCAAAGGTGTTGAGAACGACAAAATCGCTGTAGGGAGAGGCCGACTCCTTTTCGGTGCCCACGGCCGTGGTGGGGAGTAACCAGTTTCTCTGGTCGGCGAGGACGTAGCTCATCACGTAGCTGCCCGAGCCGATGCGGGAAACGCCGACCCTGCCGCCCTTGAGCGAATCGACTGATTGGATTTCGGTCCTGCCGACGCCCGTCGAAATCGCCCAGCAGAGGGGGGTTTCGACGTATGTGCCTACGAGGCGGTACCCGCCGTCGTCGTAGGAGTCGGAAGCCTTGTTCTCGACTTTCCCGAGGCCGGCGATCCAGCCCTCTGTGAGACCGATGGCGACGTCGATTTCGTTGGAGCGGATGGCGGTTATCATGTGGCCCGTCCCCGAGGGGAAGGGGATGAGCTCGGCGTCGAGGCCGTAGTGGGTTTTGGCGAAGTGGAGGGGAGTTGAGAAGTGTTCGGGGACGTAGCCGATTTTGAGAGGTTGAGACATTTTGAGTGTTTTTTTCTTTTTCTTTTTCTTTTTATCGTCTTTGTTGATGATTATCGGGAACTTGGATTTGAAGGTATTGTGAGCTTTCTAAGACTGTTTTATGCTATCAAAGTAAAAAAAATAAAAAAATCGTTGACGTTTCGGATGCTGTTTGAAAATGACGCAATGCGGGGCGGCGCAGACGGTTTTTCTGGAACAAACGGCAACGGGAGGGTCCACTGTGAAGTGCCGCAACGAAGAGTCTTCCTTTCCTATTACTACTGTGAGTAAAGAATTGGGGTCGAGTTTCGGGTCTGGTCTAATTTGGGGAATGGCACAGTTTAAAAAATAGCAAACATCAAAACTCTAAAGGCTAAGATGTGTTCAAGTCTTGAAATGAAGAGTGAGCACTCTAGCGGGCAGTGGCAAAAGTCTTTGAAACTTGCACTTGGACTTGTAAGAGTCTTGACGAATGCCAAGTCTATTTATTTATTTAACCCACCTAGTCAACATAAACACGCCAAAAGAGTTGCTCATTCGGGTGAATCACAGCAGCTCAGTTTGGATCCGTTGATTTTCGCTTTCACTCCCTTCTTTTGAACACTTACTCAACATCAAATTGACCGTGTGAGACTGATAATTACCTCAACTTTGTGCTCAGCAGCAACAAAAGACCCAGAGCCGGCATTCTTTATGATTTTAAGAATCTATTGGTGAAATATCTGTCATTTCAGCATGGTTGGTGCCATCTGTGATCTGAACCATGGTTGAAGGAACCTTTCAGTTCAGAATGTGCTTCTCCAACCCTCCGTTCTGTAAAAGGCATCTTGACATCAAATTGACGTATTCCAACCAAAAAATGAGTGACCAAAGCGAGATAATAAGCGGACAAAATGATACACCGTATGTGCGCTACCACACGAACGGAAGATCGGAACGACCGAAAGCGATTGGGATGCTGATCCATTCCCCGGATTCTCTGGGAGCACACCCGGACAGCTTCTTTCGCAATCCTTTCCATATTTTAAATGTGAATCCAAACAAAAATTTTCACCAGTCGCATGCTAAAGTTTGCTAAAAATAGGATCAGCACACATGAATACCCAAACATCCCGGCTTGGCTCTTTCACAGTATACCCGCCCGTCGAGCAAAACAACTTTTGCTTACTCCTACCGTAGTACTTGTGGAATGAAAAGGTGCGCCACAAGCGAGTAGTTCAGGTTCAGCCGAGCGAACAGACACGCTCGTTCCGATCCGAGACAGGAAATCCAGGGTCTTACCTGTCCGCTTTTTACTTGGCTAGTTAATGTGATGTAATGTGAACCAAGTTTTTGTTTGTGCGTCTCTGTGTGTGTTCCAACTACAAAAGTAGCAATCAATCTCCTCATCTCGCTGTCTAATGTCCTCATCTTCATCTCGAATTATTTTTCTCATCAAAAAGTCCAAACTCCGAGATGCATCTCTCAATCTTCACCACCCTCGCCCTGGCAGCAGGATCCCTCGCAACTGCCATCCCGGCAGAGAAACAAATCATCTGCGGCGCCCGCCTCGCGCCCTGTCCCCAAGGATACGCATGCAAACTCTCCCAGCTCTCCTCCATCGGCGTTTGCACCCGCAATCCAGTCCTCACGGTCCCTGTGCCGGCTCGAACAACTACCGCCATCACTAAGCCAACCCCGACTCCCGAGCCGACTTACCAATCCTGCGGCGGATACAGAATCAAGCCGTTTGAGTGTCCCAAGGGCCAATACTGCGTTGATGACCCCAGAGTGGAAGGCTGCGGAATGGCATGCGATAGGCCCGGTATCTGCGTGACGCCCGCCGGAGCCGAGTTTTGCGGAGGGTTTGCTGGTTTCGCGTGCAAGGATAAGAATAAGCTTTGCATCGATGATCCGAGGGATGATTGCGATCCCAGGAACGGGGGAGCCGATTGTGGGGGGATTTGTGTTTAAAAAAGTTGGGCAAGTGTGATGTAGGCATTGGAAGTAGAAAATCGAGTTAGATAGGAAGCAATCGTGCTTCCAGACTTTAAAATGGGTTCGAGTTGATAATTATATTGTGGAAAAAAGCAAGCAAATTTCTCAAGTCGATGATATGCAGCCTTCCAAAGAAAAGAAAAAGAAAAAGAAAAAAAACTGTCGAGAGCTAGAAACCCAAAAGTAAGTGTGAGTGCAGTGGGTGGTGCACAAGAAAAACTGCAAAAAGATGTGACTGAAGCGCGATTCGAACGCGCGCCTCTTGCGAGAGTAGAATACTTCCCAGATGGTTCTGGGAAAGATACGAATATCTTGAGTCTACCGCCTTAGACCACTCGGCCATCCAGCCAGATGTTGACAGTTTGTTGAAGTGACCCGTTGCAAAAGCCTTCTTTAACGTCTGAATTGCCCCGTTGTCTGCTGGATACAATCGATGCCTTATCTTCTTTTTTTTCTTTTTCTGCCCTGTTCCTTATTCCCGGCTAGCCCACCCCGCAAATGACTCCAATGGAATGACTTGAATTTCAGAGAGAAAGTTGTCTTCCTTTGCAGAAATCTCAATAAGTTCCGCCATTTTGGGACTGGTCTTGTGAGTCTCGACTGCGGCTTGATCTGCGTAGCTGGAGGCTATTAGCATTATGGGTGCTTGTCTTGATTTTGGTTGGTAGCAAGTGCACACATTTCCCATACGTAGATCTTGGGGCTTTCGGTAGGACCTGAGAGAAACCATTGGTACTTCAGGACTCCAGGCTCCTTTTCTTTGACGTAGTCGGCAACCGAGTTGCAAATCTCTTGGACCTGGTGCAAAGATTCAAGTTAGCACTTCAATTTGCAGATTGCATACAAGGCAGAAAACATACACGGTCAACTCTGTCAGGCTTTGGTTCAAGAATGGCTAAAAAGTGGAGAGGCATATTGACAAGATTTGCAGTGGTGATTCAGGGGCTCGGTGGAAGTAAAGAATGTTTCCTACATGTGCAGGATGAATGAACATGCTTGATGGTTGAAAGTGACAAAGAGGGGATGGTTTCGGCAGAATCGGTGCGTTCCGAGACCCGGACCGGCTGCAAATCTGAGACCGAACTTCATACAGCGACCTGGTTTGCGCTCAAGACGACATTGATAACCTCAATTCCAGGGCACCTCCATCTATTCAGCTTACGTTGGCATTTCTCTCTTCTTATTCTCTGGTCTTCTCTTCTGTTTTCTGCTAGAAAACATCACCAATTCCTGGCAGCAAAAGAACACGGGGGTTGAAGATTGAGATCCGGCTATTATACAAATACGACTTTGATATTCCACCAGAAATCCCTGTGAGTTTTCTGCTGCTAAATATCCATGGAATCTTCCGAGTTCCTTGCACGTGGATCGGAAGTGCAAAGGCTTGGAAACGCCACACAAGACGTGGGATGTCACCCTCGGCATCCCTTCCAAGAAAGCTTGAGCGGCCAAGAGGTTTCCGCGACATGGATCTAGAGAAACATCAATAGATGGATTGACAAACAACTTTGAAATCTAAACTTCTGAATGCCACTTGCCATGTTTCGAACCCCAGAGATTAAATGACCTCCATTTTCTCATGTTGATCACCACCTCGGAATTCGGCAGCCATATCGAAATCGAAGCGAGCGGGGTTTCCAGAATTTATCCCGCCCCTGTCCTGAAGATGACGTTAATTTTCCCGACTGTTCCCCTGGAAAGAACGCGTCGTCAACAAAATGTGAACTAACAACGGAGCCCTTAATATCATTTTAGACGCCCGGCCAATAAAATGATCCCCGCATGCCAGAGGTCGGAGCCAAATTGCCGAACAGGCTATCAATCAAGTATATTGACAAAACTTCATCCCAGCCATCGTCACCAAGGAGCGTCGTAGTCAATGGCCATGGAATGACGACCACCGATCCGTCCCGTCTTGGCTAGCTAAGCATCACGGGGAAGAAGCTTGCCCCTGGATTCTCGTGGTAGGTATAAGCTTGCTCCATGTCCGTCCCTTTTCATTGCAGCGACACTTGTAGTCTGGGATTGAGCTGTCTGGGAATCTCGTCACCGTTATTTGTCCAAACGCCACGACGGAAATATGCATCTGATCAAAATCACCGCCCTCGCAGCGGCCCTGAGCTCTGGTATGTTTCTCAGTTGACGTCTGTGAGAGAGGCAAGACGGCATCTAACGAGAAAGAAAAGGGGTCGATGCTGCCGTCAGGCAACTTCCCGTCCCCAAGAGCTGCAGCGGCGTCGCGGCTTTCCGCTACCAGTACAAGCTCGAGAGCGGATGGTCCGCCGTAAAGATTGCCGGCGGTCTCAAGCAGGTCCGCACCGTCGTCTGGGATAGCGAAGGAAACATGTTGGTGTCGCAAAACACCAGGGGTGTCTCGGTGCACACCTTTGGCGACAATGGCTGCGTCAACAGCACGACCATGCTCATCTCGGGCAACCAGATCAACCACGGCCTGGCCATCTCCCCGGATAGCAAGACCCTCTACGCCAGCAGTGAGACGCAAGCTTGGAGCTGGGCGTACGATCCCCTCACCCGCAAGATTAGCAACCAAAAGACGATTGTCAGGGGAATGTCTACCGGCATTCACTCGTCGAGAACCATCGCTGTGGTCCCCCAGAGCCCGAACCTGATTTTGCTCCAGGTTGGCAGCAACTCCAACTTCGACATGGCGTCGGCGCAGCCGTCGACCGGACGCGCCATCATCAAGATCTTTGATGTCAGCAAGGCTCCTTCGAACGGTTTCAACTACAACACCGAGGGTGAGGTGTACGGTTACGGTCTTCGCAACGAGATTGGCTTTACTGCTGATCCCAGCGGCGTCTTTTGGGGCGTCGAGAACAGCGGTGATGTGAGTTGTCTTGAGGAACATGTCTGAATGTGAATGCAAGTTGACAGAATCAGGACTTTGCGCGCACCGAGAACGGCCAACGCCGCGACATCCACATCGACAACCCAGCCGAGGAGCTCAACAATCTCGGCGACCCCACCAAGGTCCGAAACGCCTGGTACGGCTACCCGACCTGCTTCACGGTCTGGAACGCTGCCAACTTCCCCAACTCTGGACTTAAAACCGGCTCCAACTTTGTCGTCAGCCCCAACAGCTCCTACAACGACGCATCATGCAACGGCAAGGCCATCCCCCCTCGTCTTTCCTTCCAGGCTCACTCGGCGCCCATCGCCAACACCTTTGACACGGACGCCAAGAACATGTACGTCACGTTCCACGGCAGCTGGAACAGACAGCCCGCCACCGGCTTCAAGGTTATTCAGATTCCCTTCCAGAAGCTGGCCGATGGCAGCTACGAGCCTGTTGCTCCCGCCGACAGCATGACTGGGTACAAGGACATTTTCGGTGCCACCAACCCCGGCAGTTGCACTGCTAACGGGTTGACCATGAGCAACTGCTTCCGGCTGACTGCTTCGTCCTGGGATCCCGCGGGCAGAGGTCTGGTTGTCGGTAGCGATAACAGCGCCGAGGGTGAGCTTTACCTCCTTACTCCTCCTAACCAGTAAGCTATCAAGGATGGGGATCAAGGGAGGAGAAGAGGGATGGATGTATGTAAATGTATATCTTGGATAGAATTGTGCAAATTATACTATGAATGACGCCGGTTATACGAGTTACACTTTGGCTGGATAGCTCAAACTTGATTTCAAAAAAAAAAAGAACTAGATCTTGTAGGAACAATTGGACGGTTTCTTGAAGATGCGACAACTCTCCTGGGCGATCCAGTTGCACAATGGCCTTTTTCAATTTCCTATTTTGAATCTGCTGAGAAAATGATATTTCCTTGTTGATCATTTAGCAACTCGAAGAAAAAGACCAAAAAAATATTCCATAAGTGCTATAAGTATAAGTGCTGCCAGAATTTCCTGCCAACTGTACGACAGCTGCCGGACACCTTCCCCGGCTTCTGGAATTCACCGCCCGCCAGGAACAGTGGGGAAAGGTTGCCCCACCATTTCGCCAACTCGACTTCTGGCATCAGGGCATCTCCAGGTACCTTCAAACCGCAACCTACAACACCCCCTGCCGGCTGCCAGAGCCGCATAATTAATTTACAACAGCAACCATGGTTCTTCAAGATCTAGGTCGCCGCATCAATGCGGCCGTCACCGACCTGACGCGCGCGCCCAACCTCGACGAAAAAGCCTTCGATGACATGCTCAAAGAGATATGCGCCGCCCTCCTCGAAGCCGACGTCAACGTGCGCCTCGTGGGCCAGCTCCGAAAATCCATCCGCTCCGCCGTCAACTTCAAAGACCTCCCGCCCGCCGTGAACAAGAAGCGTCTGATCCAGAAGGCCGTCTTTGACGAGCTCGTCAGTCTCGTCGATCCCCACGCCGATGCCTTCAAGCCCAAGAAGGGAAAGTCCAACGTCATCATGTTCGTTGGTCTGCAGGGTGCCGGCAAAACAACGACATGTACAAAGCTTGCGAGGCACTACCAGTCGCGCGGGTTCCGCGTTGGTTTGGTTTGCGCCGATACCTTCCGCGCTGGTGCTTTTGACCAGCTGAAGCAGAACGCAACCAAGGCCAAGATTCCATACTACGGTAGCTTGACGGAGACGGACCCGGCTGTTGTTGCGCGCGACGGTGTGGACAAGTTCAAGAAGGAGCGGTTCGAGATTATTATCGTCGATACCTCTGGCAGGCACAGACAGGAGAGCGCCCTGTTTCAAGAAATGATGGACATTCAGACGGCCATCAAGCCCGACGAGACCATCATGGTTCTCGACTCTTCGATCGGCCAGCAGGCAGAGGCGCAAGCAAAAGCCTTCAAGGAAGCAGCCGACTTCGGTGCCATCATCATCACCAAGACCGATGGTCACGCCGCGGGCGGCGGTGCCATCTCTGCCGTCGCAGCCACCCACACCCCGATCGTTTTCATCGGCACCGGCGAGCACATGCTCGATCTCGAACGCTTCGATCCCCCGCGATTCATCAACAAGCTTCTCGGAATGGGCGACATGATGGGATTGGTGGAGCACGTGCAATCGCTCAAGCTGGACCAAAAGGACACGATCAAGCACATCACCGAGGGCATCTTTACTATTCGCGATCTGAGGGATCAGCTGCAAAACATCATGAAGATGGGCCCCCTGTCCAAAATGGCGGGCATGATTCCGGGCATGAGCAACATCATGGCCAACATGGACGACGACGAAGGATCGATGAAGCTCAAGAGGATGATTTACATCTGCGACAGCATGACGGAGAAGGAGCTCGACTCGGACGGAAAGATCTTTATTGATCAGCCTACGCGCATGACCAGAGTGGCCAGGGGCTCAGGGACGAGCGTCAGAGAGGTGGAGGATCTCTTGACGCAGCAGAGAATGATGGCTGGCA